TAAACTGTCTATATTGTTTGCACTTGGTCAATGGACTACAAACTGTATTTTTCAGTACAACGTGCAAAATTGACAACGTGCAAACAATATAGACAATATAGCCATGACTGAAAAATACACGAGTTGTACTGAAATGAACCAAGTACTCGTCAGGTTTCACCTCGCATACATCAATGAACATTTACACGAGAGTTCACGTGAGAAGCCGAGGATGAGATATAATTAACACATGTGGAAGCCATTACCAAAATTATCACTATTATACAAAGAATGTTACGTCTCCAGCAGCTCTGCCGTACACACACACGCGCGCTTAGGGGACTGATCTCAATCCGACCTACGTCTATGGCTTCCCTCTCTCTCTCTCTCTCTCTCTCTCTCTCTCTCTCTCTCTCTCTCTCTCTCTGACTTGGCTCACCCTGCCTCACTCTCTGCCTCTAACCTAGATTGTAACCCTGGATACACCCACTCAGGTAAGCTTCACACTCGGTGGCTATGGCCGCCCTGCTCCCTATACCCCTCTACCCTAGCTATGGAGTAACTCTCGAGTGCCCTCTTCTTCCTCCAGACGCAGAGTGCCCAAGTTGTCGTAACGCACAAGCAGCAGCAGCGCTTCGGCATCTTGCAAATGAACGAGTGAATGGGCCGCTGCACTGTAGCCGCTAGATATAGGACTTGACTTGGCTTGGCCTGCTTCAGACCAGGCAGCGGGCTGTCTGCTGCAAACATTTTGTCGGTCCGGTGGCTTCCGGACTTTCCTGGGACATGCTGCAAAATTGGACTTGGGACTATACTGGACTGGACTTTTCTTGTCGGGTACCGGACCGACTTTCACCGACCTGTGACGTCTCAATACTGACACGTATCAACCTACAACGCTTCGGCCTATGGACCTTACGGCCTCTCCTACTGGGACGGCCTGGACACTTCGGGACCCTGGGACAAGGGCCTGGGGTGTCTGCAGTGTGGATCCTTTCAGTACAAATGGAGTCAATCGAGTAGAAACTGCAAAGATGAAACTATTAGTGATCTTTACAGTTGAAACCGTTAGTCATCTTAACAGTTTGTACTTGATACGTTAGTCATCTTAACAGTTTGTACTTGATACGTTAGTCATCTTAACAGTTTGTACTTGATAGACTAAGTGTGAACTAGAAACACAACCAATACACTATAGTTAGCACATATTACAAACCAATACACTATAGTTAGTTCATATTATCGAGCCCATCAAATACTATAAAGATGACTAATACACTACAATTTGTACAAAGTATTAGTCATCTTTATTATGGTTATTAACTTATTAGTCATCTTTCCAGTTCGTTACTTGATTGACTGATACACTATATTTAGCAAACAAACTGTAGAGTGAATGCTTGGCCATATATTCGGCGCTTAAGTGGGTGATAGATTCCCTATCTCGGAGTACCCCATGCAACGGTCTGGAATTATCTCAGAGCCCAGCAAAACCCAGTGTTGGGAAAAAGCGGCGGGCAAAACCACTCTTGGGAAAAAAGAGCCAGGGAAGTACTAGGTAATGGTCTCAGAAAGGGAACAGAACCGAACCCTCCTTTCTTTCTTTCTTTCTTTCTTTCTTTCTTTCTTTTCCTTTCCTTTTTGAATTAGCTCATATCTTTTTGTGGTTACAGAACAAGCTCCCCCCATCACAACCGTCAATGCTGGTCCATCTCAATACAGGTGAGCACTTTATAAAAAAACTTGTCTCCTCCTGATGCAGCAATTGAGGACCCCTCTTTCCCTAATGCAGCAGCTGTAATTGGGTGCATGCGCAGCAAGGTACTGCATAAGCTTTGCTACCGCCGTCCCCCAAAGACAACGCACCTTTATCATGACTGTATACATTCATTTTCAGGGTGTGTTGTGTTCGGGGTAAGGCGGTAGTCTGCAAATGAGAGAAAAGGCTCACAAACACTCTCCAAGCAGCGCGCAAGGAATCTGAAAAGAGGGCATTTGGCGACACAATTGGAAGTCCCTAACACACATGCTGCAAGAGTCCAAATCCTCCCACAAGCTCCAAACATGCGCAGCCGCAGCAATAACAGCTGGAGGGAAATAGGTTGATGACGAACTCAAATTGCTTTGCAATTTGTCATTCTACTAATCTGCTGCTGCTTTTTTCCTTTCTCGTTTAAACAGGTTCTTATGCTCCTGGCTCTTTATCCATTCTGGGGACCATCAGTCTCGTTCCTTGTTCGGGTTCTTATGGCCCTCGCTCCTTATGCATTCTAGGGACCGTCGGTCCCATTCCTTTTCCCCCGGCAAGTCAGAAAAAGCTTACATCATACGTGCACTGATCTACTTCTCAGTTCACTATTCTACCTGCATGTTTCCAGAAGGTGACAAGCAAGTTGTTTACCCCTCCCATCCCATGGAGCTTCCCCTTCACAGCCCTGCTGCTGCTACTGAATCTGCCTGAAGATGTGGACTGTGGACTGCTGTTTTTTTTTGTTTTGTTTTGTTTTGTTTGTGTGTGTGTGTGTGTGTGTGCTGTCTCTTATACACATCTAGATGTGTATAAGAGACAGGTATGGGGGAGTCTGATAGGGGGCTGTATGAGAT